GGTGATCGCAAATGGTGATTGTAGACTCGCTTATTTAGAGGAGGGCAGAATGGTGTAGAGAATGAAGTAAGAGAATGAAGCAAGAGTAATACTGGATCAGATACTAGTATATTTTGCAAATTTCGTAAACATAAATGACGGTTCCCAGCTTGGAGAAAGAGTTAAAGGCCTATTTTCGTAGAGTTCAGTATTTTAAATGTATTAATTAATATGGTATCCTGTGTTCAATCCGGAGTCACTATGTCCTGCTATGAAATCTTGGAGTGATCTAAGCAGTACAGACATCTATCATGATCTCCTAATTTATTAGAGATATACCCGACAAATCGTGGCAAATAACTGGATATTTACAATTTACAATTGTAAATGTACAGTGAATCTCAGAAATTCATGTGCAATGTACATTCTTCTCGAATAAGTGTTTGGAAGTTTGCAGGCAGAGATGAAATACGGTCTAAAACAGGTTTAATACTGTTTTAGGATTCTGGCGTGACGCGTCAACATTGAAGAGGGATAAATTAGGAGGCAGTGAAACTATCAGGCTAAGATGAATGTAATGGGGACTTGTCACCATTAGCTGAATTTGAAATTGTTCAATGGCTGTAGACTGAGCACGTGAGTACCTTGTGAATGAAACGACAGATCATCATTGGTTGGTCATTGATTTAGTAGAAACGTCTTTGGTTGGCTGTCTTGTGTAAATAACTGACGTGTAGTATATGCCAAGGTTATTTTAGGATTCTGACGGTCTCTGTGTACGAATTTTACAGGATTTATGAGTTTATTTTTTCAGTATTATGTGATCGAACGGATGAACATATCAATCAGTGGTCAACCGGGGACAGGATTCTGATTCTCCCCAATATAGCCGGGGCCGGGGCTGACCACTGAGAATTGGCCGGGGCCGGGAAATCTTCCATTTTGCCGGGGCTGGGGGGAATTTACCAAACTGAAGTCAGAAATTGAAACATGAATTTGATAATAATTTAGGCTGGTGTGATGCAATTGGGAAGGATTAAACTCAAGGTGCAGCTTATCCTCACCGACTTGAGGATTAAACCGCAACTTCGTGCTGTGAACCAACTCAGGATAATCCTCATTATCCTGAGATCCATACTTAATTTCTAATCCTCAACTCGGAACTGAGGATAACCCTCAGCTTCTACTTTATCTGGACCTAGGGATTTTAAAGTAATCCCACATCCAAATATGGCTCGGTTCACAAAAATTTACCATAAATGTTAGGCTCTGTAGTTTACGTTGAGCCGTAGTTTTAGCTGCAGTGCAGTATTTATACTTTCTAGTTTCTACGTATGTTTTATCGCAAATTTCTCAGCACGATTAACTGAAAAGTCTGATCATACTTCAAGGAAGAACCACAGTTTTTATGTTACTAGCCGTAGTCTTATTTAAGCCGTATGTTGTATTTTCTATATTTAAACGTACTCAACGTAGACAATAAATTTTTCAACTTTGAAATCTCATAATTACCATTAAATTGTGTTTGTTTTTTTTCAAAAATGTGCCAAAATCATTCATGAAATCCCCGGCTGTGCCCCCGGCAAATGCATGGTTTTTGGCCGGGGCCGGGGTTAAATTTATTGGCCGGGCCGGGGTTTACCTTGTCATACGTTGTGTGACCCGCCACGCACGAGTGCGCAGCTCCCCCTGTATAGTCGAAACTCTACAGTGAAGCGACAGTGGGGGTCACCACGTGATACAAGGTTTACCCCCGGCGATTTGCCAAATTTTGGCCCGGGCCGGGAAGGGCCGGGGGTTGTGATTTTGGCTGGGGCCCCGGTCGACCACTGATATCAATATTTTATCAATTCAATAGTAAATGACAGTTCTTCACTTGAAACAATTAGGTAGCCATGTCTTATGTTATGTTTAGTCACAGGCTGTTGTTCAGATAATAACAATCTGATCTCATCTTCACAGGATGCTATTCTTATTCATCAATGAAGTCACTCTGCTGGTTTTCCTCAAAATATCAGCGCCTGTCGACACCAAAGGTAAAATTTTAACGCAACTCTTTATACTTGATCTATAACTATAAGTATATTGAGTTCAGCTCGGCCTTGAGCTGTCACCGATTAGTGATGGGCTAGATTTAGGGTAGAGTTCACATGATGACAACTCTGTATATCATTGACGGATGTTACTCATCTAAATTTCTTCAAAGTATAGCGTGCGCCGCTTTCTTCTCGATGGCACGTGCTATCATTAACAATGATCAATGTATATCATAGCTGTAAATTAAGTGAACATGATCTCTAAGCAGTGGCGAAATGATCACTCCTCGCTACTCCCGCTGTGGGCAAGGGGGGGGGGGGGCGGCAAATAGTTGAATGTGGGACAATTTTAAAAATTTAAATAAGTAAGTTAGCAAAATTGCACGTTTTGCTCTAGTCAACACACTTTTTCAGATTTTACTAACGTATTCAGATTTTACTAACATATTCTCTAAAATTAGGACATAAGAAAAATTTCAAATTTAAGGGGGGGGGAGGCAACAAAAACTTTAGCAGGGGGCGGCACACAGGTACGTTTTGCCACTGTCTCTAAGATTATCCCTGACCTTCCAGCTTTGTGAATGATTTATAGATATTTTAAAATTTCAGACGTTTGCCCTGTAGGATACTCACTAGAAATCGGGGATATTCTAGGTTGGGGTACTGAACTGGGAAGTAGGATGGCGATTGGTTTGAAAGAGGAATGTTTTTGATTGAAATAAATTTTCGTGCACATACAGAATGAATGGTTAATAATTTAATATATATGTAGACCAAGCTCTGTGCACGGGATGCTTCCTGGAAGAATCCAGTTCTTTTAGCGGGGCACCCTACCTAAAGCCAAATTGAGATATAATAATCATATTCCTAGAGAAATAATCAGAAATCGAATACCAATCAAATAATATGATATATATGAGTAGTAACCATATTTACTATGCAAAATGCCCCAACCACATAGTGTAAATTTATATAGAATTCAAATTCCATATCATCATTAAACCTCAATACCTAGTCAATATAATAGCCCAAGCAAAATTAAATAACTTCTTATATACCTTACTGTCATACTACAAATTAATTAAACATTTGAAATCTGTTGACCAGAGAATAAATTTCTAAGCCTAATGCAAGTGAAATAATTTAGATGCAATAATGAATGCCTAATGTGAGTATCATTTGTCAATGTCCTTGTAAATGTGCTAACAGATGTGACACTCTACCTCTCTGTCTCTCCTTTGAACATAGCAACACTAAAAAATTATGTAATCTCAACAAAAAAGCGATGCCTAGTCATCCTAAATACGGTGACTACGCTTTTTGCAGAAAAGGTCAGTTACATATTCTCAATTTGCAATTATTTTACTAATATCCGTGAGATTATAATAAAATTTTGGAGGACTTCGCCGCTTCAAACTATGAACTAGCATTCTTGCTTCTATGAACTAGCATTCTTCGCAGAGCAACGATCTCGATGGGTTGACATCGTCAATCAAAATTTTAAAAAAATATCTGTGCTCGGCAGTATCGAGATAGCCCGACCACTGGTCCGCGGACCACGGTCCGCGGACCAGTGGTCCGCGGACCACTGTCTGCGGACCGTGGTCCGCGGACCACTGTCATATTACTGTATAATAACAGTATCCCCTGAATCAAGCAGGGTTCACATCATCCCCTGAGTCAAGCAGGGTTCACATCATCCCCTGAGTCAAGCAGGGTTCACATCATCGCACGCGAATTCCAATCAGCGGTGGTGTCAAGGCTTATTAAACGATTAAGCAACCTTACGAGATCAGTTCACATCGTGCAATATATAAAGAATAACTATTATCAGACTGCATCAATCATTTCTATCATCAACTCCTTCTTGAACAACTACAACTATGGTCTCAGAGAAAACGAAACGGATGAACTCAGCCCTACCCTGCGACCCTATCTGCAAACCTATCTCACCTCTCGACAAGTGGACTCAAGCTGGTAAAACCCTCATCGTCTCCAGAGCCAACCCAAGCTTCTGCGTTTTCTGCAACAAGAGGCATGCTGGTATATCATGCGCTGCTCATGACCCTGTAGCATCTTCTGATGCCGGAGGTCTTGCTAACTCCTCTGCTCATGCTCCTCGTGTCCGCTCCAAATGTAACAACTGCGTTGTTATGAATGTCCACCGGGAATCTTCAGTCCTCGATGGGATCCTACATTCTACTACAAAAAAGATAACAAAGCTTTGTCCTGAGCATCAACTCCCGGACTCCATTCCACCAACTCCTCAAGACACGATAGATAGAGACAACGCTGAACCCTTCACTAGCCCAACTACACAGCAAGGATCACAAACATCCCTGCTCCCATCACCTCCAGCCGATGTATTGCAGCCTAGTCCTCCAGTTGCAGTTGATCACCTCCCTTCTACAAGCAGAGTAGGACCCATTCGGAGCAGACGGCGAACACAAGCAGACGCACTTATTCACGAAAAATACCCTATCATAGTGGAGGATGTTTACTCGGGCACATCCGTCAGAAAGGCTGTCGCAAAAGTTGGTATGGCACGATCAACTCTATATAAGTGGCGCTATATGGCGGAGATGAAGATCATTGACCCATCCCACTACTACTACCTACAACAACAGTTCGCAGATACAGCCAAGCTGTCCTCCGAGTGCAAACTTTGCCTCTCCGAAGAAGAAAGAGAATACGGCCGGGCTGCACAACAGTTGAGAGCAGACAAGAAGTTCCTACCTGACCGATTTTAGTAAATTAGTAAATTGACCGATTTTTATAAAATGTATATATTAGTAAATTACTTGTATGTTTAGTTAAACTTATTATTAAAATCTAATAACTACTATTCATTTATTGAAAACAAACTTGTTAAATACGAATACAATAAATTATCTTCACACAGTCAAAACGGAAATGTAAGCATTGAAACAATTTACAATCTGATCTGGTCCTCCTGTGGCATTAAACCGACGCTTAAACATGAAATCAATCAATGTTTCTAGTCCCTAATACCGACTTCTTGACGTGATACCAGAGGCCTTCCTGCGTGTTGGTGTGAATTCCTGTTAAGGGATCCCTGAACATGTATGTGTGGTTGACTGTACCATGCGTGTACCCCTCCGCTGTTAGCGTGTTGTAAGCTCCCCACTCGTCTGTGTAGATGATAGACCCAGGAAGAATCCACCGCCGGATGAGAGGGAGGAGAGTAGTTGCTCCACGTTTGTTGTTCGGACAAGGGAGGAGGAAGCATTGTCCTGTGTTTCGGTCAACTCCACCAAGTACCCACATACCCTCTCTGTATCCACCTTTGTTGTATTTTCTCTTTCCGAACTTAGCTTCGTCTAATTCGACAATTACTCCAGGACCACCAAGAGGACAAGGGTTTGCAAGCAGCCAATCAGCGATTCGAGTGTGGATGAATATCTTCCAGTCAGACACCGCGTTTTCAGAAAGTCCAGTCATCTGTGATACCGCAATGCCAGCTAGTCCTTTTATACTCAAACAGAACAGCAGTTGTATGAAGGTCTTGAGAGCGAGCTTCTGTCCAGAGAGGATGCTGTCTGTTCTAATATTCTTGTACTTCTTGCAGGGGGAGCAGCGCCATATCAGTCCATCTGGAGACTTCGAGGACGAGCAGGGAACCAGGGACATAGATGCATTACACCCAGGACAGGACATGGAGCTCTTTAGGAGGTTTTTCTGGAATAGGAAGTCTCGAGCATTCTCTAGGGAGGCGGTGGGTCCATTAATTTCGTCCATTAGACAGAAGAGTACCATGTCAGGAATTGGAATAGTTGTTGTTGTTGATGATAGCAACTGATAATACTTCACCAAAAACGAACGACTTATATACCACATTTTAATCGTAATCATTTATTTCATTGAGCAATCAATATTATTCGTAACTAATTATATCCGAGAGACCACATTTGAATCGTAATCAATAGTTTGATCCAGTAATTTACTACGCTACAATTAATTATGCTAGTCGTAACTAATTGCATCCAAGATACCATACATACCATTCATATGATCTGGTAACCAATCAACTATTCACAAACACCTGTTGCTTGATTCAGGGGATACTGTTATTATACAGTAATATGATCTGGTAGACAGTGGTCCGCGGACCACGGTCCGCAGACAGTGGTCCGCGGACCAGTGGTCGGGCTATCTCGATACTGCCCTGTGCTCTGCATAATGCATCACATGAATCAGTTTTTTTAATCTATTAACTTATTACACATTTGTGCTCTGCTTTAGCATCACTTGACTATTTAATAAAATTGTTTGTTCAGGCCATGACCTTATAGTCAGCTAATTGGCCATTGCTAATATTATGTGTATATTGTTTGAATATTCTTTTTTATCAAAATAAAATTATACATTTATACTATTATATGTAAGTTCTTAGCTATTTACCTGGGGCTATCATGTTCATAAACGGAATGACAGGCTGAGCGCGGCCCAGTAATTAGCTATTAAACACATATGACATAGTACATGCATAGTATATACATTTAAAAGCGAAAAAGGTGCGTGATACCACTTACGGCCTACTTAACGATGGCATCTAATAATATTACTACTTGCTAGTACATAGTACATAAGATAAGATGATGTAACGTGTAATTATTTACGATCATCGCATGAAAATTATTAAAATTATTAACACTATATAATTAAAGCAACGAATTTTTGATATTTCAGCCAAATGTTCACAGCTAAACCCTGAGTGGAAAAATGTTTTCACAAAGCTACCAGTGAGAGAAGGAGTCGAGATGAAAATTCGTTGTGAAATTGGGTACACAAACATGGGAGGAAACGGTGCTAAGTGTGAAGACGAACACTTTAAAACAACGACTCAACCCCCAGACTGCCAACAATGTAAGTAACTACAAACTTTCCCAGAAACCCTTACTGGTAGGGGCCTAACTTCGAAAATAAAAGAGATAGAAACGTCTGGTTTTCAACAAAATGTTCCCCTTGTAAAAATAACGTCCCCCCCCCCCCCCCCCCCCCCCCCCCCCCCCTGGATAGAGTAACTTTAACCCTAAACAAAACATCCTCTAAGACCCATGCCTTTGATCCGATCGATAAACATTTTATGATAACTAAGATATCAGATATAAATAACCATTTTACTTACCTCTCCCAGCTGAAGACGATTAAAATATTAAAATATTTCATTTTACACCTGTCACTCACATCATATATACACCACAAAAGAAAAAGATTCTCTGAATCATTACATTATAAACTCACTCCACCACACATACACACAAACCATTGACAATTGAAGCAGGTTACACGCGGGTGTACCGTTCACTTTATCCGAAGGGAAAAATGATACTTTACGTAATGCGCGATTTACGTCTTGGTAGCTAAATTATTCAAGCGCTACTTGTCAGAGGGACAGAAATGCGCGCGCGAGCGCTTGCGCGGCTCACTTATCCAACACTCATGTTTACATCGTATCAGGCAATGGTTCAGTTTAATTATGGTAATATATATATAAGGGCACAGCCTGTCAAAAACCCTTTTCGCATGATCCGTCGACACCGCCTGAATAGAAGGTGACTGCATAATAACGGATCAACGTGGAATCAAACATTAATAAGCTTGCAGCTCCCGTCCTCCCCACTCCCGATGACATTGTGTTCTACCTGGTGTCATGCTTGAATTGGTTTTGGACCTCTTCATGCTTTTGATTAATATATTATTGTTATTTGGTATTATGAGCTAATATGTACATACGGTATCTAAAAGTTAAGTGTATCTAAAAGTTAAGTGTATCTAAAAGTTATGTGTATATCGAGCATATGTAACAAATTTTAAGCAATAATGTATTGCGAGCAGCTGTAACTTAATCATTAATATTGCATAAAAATCATATAACTCAAAACTAAAATTTTACTGGTATATAGGGAAAACTAAGATAAAATTAATGTCAGACCCGTCGCCACTATCAGCAGTCAACCAGGGCTCATAAAAGCTTAACAGCGCCTGGGTCCGTTCACCAACTGTGCTAATGTGAGTGGCGGTGTGGTAAGACCCATTTTAACAGCGTGTATATTGATGAAATACAAGCGCGCTAGCTGCTAGCATACTTATCATTTAATTTTAAATCAAATTTATTCGGATATGTATTTATTGATTATGTATTGAATTGGTGATAAATGATAAATAATTGACATACGTTGCATGCCACTTTTCGCGCGCGAAGCGCGCGCCGCCGAATAATAATAAAATTGTCTTTTCTCAAAAAAATTTCTTTTCTCGAAAATGTCTTTTAATCACTAATTTGTAATTTGTCCAATTGACTATTAGTATATTACTTGTATCACGTTGTGACACCCACGGTCGTTTCACCCACGGTCGTTTCACTATCCACTATCGTCCTGACGATACAGGGGGAGCCGCGCACTTCGACTATGACAAGTCCTCCTCTGGGGTAAGAGAAAGAAGAGTCCAGTTCTCGAGTTTTCTAAGTTCTTGTTTTTGATCAGTTCTTTAAATAAGTTCTTTTCGAAACTGGAAACCAGTTTGCAGTTTATTTATGGAAGCGCATGTGTGCCAAAAAGTACTAACACCAAACACACATGCGCTTCCTATTGCTAGGTAGCGCATGTGTATCACAACTTTTTGACACACATTACACTTACCTTGTACCTGGGGACCTCAGGCTATCATGTTCATTCGGCGGAATGACAGGCTGAGCGCGGTCCAGTAAACATTACACATGCGTTTCCTAGGAAGCGCATGTGTGTTACTTGTCATACGTTCAACGTTGTATGACCCGCTGCGCACAAGTGCGCGGCTCCCCTGTATCGTAAGTGAAACGACAATGGGGGTCACGACGTGATACAATGTGTTACTACTTTTTTATATTACACACATGCCCTTCCATAGTCAACAATAAAACATTACTTTGAATAGACGCTAAATTATTATTCAACCTGCTGTATAGCCGACTATCATACCTTTAATAAAGCCTTTAATTTAAGAGATTTGCTTGGGGAGGCGGGTTATCGTTGTGAAGTACTGTACTACTCACGAAGTACTGTACACGATGTTTTCAACCCACGAGTCAGAGAGCAAGCTCAACTGACGGCTCCCAAGTCCCAGATGAAGTATGCGCATGAAGGTGAATCGGTCTGATCAAGTAGTTGGTTGGGCTGTGATTGTATCGACCATGAGTACCAAGCAAGTAGGTTATAAAAGTTTCCACGGAAGGATTCGAAATCATGCCGAAGTAGCCGGGCCAGCGCTAACTCCAGTTACATCCTGGTCACTAAAATTACTCCGCCCTTTGATTTACTTAGGAAATTACGTATGAGCTAAGTAAGCTATACGTTTTTGTGATTTATAAAGCCCACTAATTTATAATACATTGGAGTTCCAAACTTATTTTACCACGTTGCAAACATCATCTAATTTATTTGCTAATGCGGCCTTCGCGCCCAATGCAGAGTCAAGTGCCACGGTGGCGGCCAGGTAAATTCTATACCGGAAATCGTCTTAAAATGGGCCGTTGTGGGCTCTGTAAATAGTGGCGATCGCGCAAGTATAAGTATTATTTTGAACTTGTCATTAATACATGTTTAATGGTCTGGCCGGGCCGTGCTACTTCCGTACCTATTCCATCGGCATGAACATTAGCTGAGAGTCCCGCGTATAAAAATAGACGATACCTCATATCAGAATGTTTAATCAGTTCGTCTGTTGTAAGTTTACGGGCGCTTGATATTAAAAACTTGTTAAATATGATTGGACCGCGGCCGTTAGTTTCGTATTTCGCAAGTGCCGAGATTAAAAAGTTTGACGGATGTCTCGCTAAATTTTTATAAACGGCGGTGCTAAGGTCCATTTATCTGGTACCACAAATGTCTTTTTTAAAAGCTGAGACAACCTTGTATATACGAGGTGACAGCCATGTCATTAATCTACAGTGTACGTGAAACATTTTGGGGGAGCCGCGCACTTCGTGCGGCGTGTTTACCACGTGAACAAAAGATAATCGGCAAGCAGACAAGAGTCGGGCCGTACCTCTCTCCGCATAATGTCTAATACATAATATGGGGTTTGGCCGAGGAGCGATTCCTGTCATGTTAATATAAGCTATAGGCATCTTTAGGTTGTGATGACTCAGTAGAAGAGACTGTCTTGTGGTTCCAACCTCCAGGACGCGCGCCGAGTTGTGAACCTACAAACGTCCATTTTGAAACAGTTAATACAGTATCCCCACTTTTAATGGCGGTTCAACGACATGTCATTGCCGCCTAATCTCTAATAGCGGGTTGTTGACCATATGTAATGGCTGGCCCCGGGTCTATCGAAGAAATTTAGACGAGTAAAAATCCGTCAAAGTGGTGTTGGTGCGGTTAACGCACAGGTGTAATTTCAGTAGGGATTAAATAAAAAACGGTTAAAAAGGTTACGGGGCCGGTGTTCACCTCGGATCATAATGTGCGCCCTAATGGCTATTTACTAATTATCCTCAGAAAAACTTACGAGATATTGTTTTCTATGGGTTTTGACCGTACAGACGGTTTAATAAAACCCTAACCCCCTAACCCGCCATAACCCCGAAGCGGATCCACTATCTATATATAAAGCACCCAACAAACTGTGGGCTAAGAATCGAATTGTTCTGAAGCTTAGGTACAAAAGGGTATTTGTTATGGCAAACTAGGGAAGCACTTTCAGTCTGGGGGAACAACCCAGGGTCCCAAAGTTACAGCCGATCCAGATTCTTTCAGATGCCTAAAGGGCCTTACATGATGTTTGTAAATCTTCTGGGGAGCATTAGTGGATGGACAAAACTATGATGACAGATCTAAATGAACATTATTATAAACTGTCATGGAGTTTAATTCGATTGCTTTTACATTAATTGTTCATTAAGAATGGTCGCATCAGAACGGACTTGGGGGGGGGAGGACATAGTGTTGTGGATTGTTTGTACTGTCAGAATATAGAGGGGGTACCAAGAAGTAGCGTGGGTTTAAGGGGATGAAGACGGGGTTTGAGTTAACAAGCAACAAGGGTTAATTTCTATAAAGATTTAAATAAAAATTTCTGCCTAAACTTTTCTGCATTTCTGGCTGAGACCAACAAGACCATCAGTCAAGGCGCAGTGCTGCAGAAGGAGATGAAGACGGTCGAGGAAAAGGTCATTCTGGACACCGATTATGCTGATGACATGGCTATTATGGACAACTTAGGGGAAGGCCTACAGGAGTCAACTGATCTATTAGTTCATTACAGCTCCTACGCTGGGCTCAGAATAAATGCAAAGAAGACCCAATGCATGGCTGTAAGCAAGTGCGCCTCCCAGCGACCTTTCATCAAGGATGATTGTATTGAGCTATCGGTTGAGGGTGAACCCGTCGAGCAGGTTAGCAACTTTGTCTACCTGGGTGCAACTATCAGAGGGGATGGGACAATCGACAGAGACCTGGATGTCCGTATTCAGAAGGCTAATGGCGCCTTTCATCAGCTCTGGAACATTTGGAATAGCAGAACTATAAAGACTCCAACCAAGATCAGGATCTATAGGGCTGCTGTCCTCACCATCTTGTTGTATGGAGCTGAAGTCTGGAACACCACCAAAAAGCAGATGAAACGCTTCGAGGTTTTCCATCAGACCTCCTTGAGAAGGATCCTTAGGATTAAATGGTTCTTTCATGTGACCAACGAAGAAGTTCTTAGGAGGGCTGGCATCAAGTCAGTTGAGACTTTCATCAGTGCTGCCAGGATATGAGGATACGTTGGTATGGACATGTAGTTAGAATGCCAGACCCTTGACTACCGAGGTTTCTGTTGAACTGGAAGCCAAATTATGGAAAGAGGTCAAGGGGCAGACCCCGGAAGAATTGGAAGACCTGCGTACTCAAAGATGCTGCTAAGTTTACAGGTGTTGAAAACATCGACAACAACACAACAGAAGCTTTGGCTACCAACCGAGTACAGTGGAGACATATGTTACGCCGCCAACGCGATGTGTGTGATACAGGCCACTCCAACGACTAGGAGGAACCCTTACCATGTATGTATGTATGTATATATAAATGGAACAAACTTAACTCATAACTGATAGTGATAACTACACAGCTTTATTCGGCCCACAACTAGATAAGAAGGCTGTCAAACTGCAAACGTTATGTTTATATGACTAATGACATCGCTTCTGGCTCCGCGGTATGTCAGTGGAGGTTTTATAGTCATTGCAATTTCCTTATTTTGACAAATCCCGATCTAAAATTTCTAACCTCACCTATCACTAACGAATCCTTTGCTCATAGAGTCAAACCAAACTAAAAATTAAGACAGGACAAAATAAAACGATTGTTTGGCGTACTATATAATTTAATAAATCCAATTTCTATTAAAATTTCTACACTTTTAAAAATCCAAACGTGACATGGCATTCATCAACTAGTCGAGGTTTCCTAATAATGGAATTGTAGGTAATTTGCGACGAAATTATTCTTTTGCCATGCCACGCTGGAAATCACGAATATAGTAAATATGACTCATTAAAAATCGATGCACTAAGTCGCTGCATAAACGCCTTTATCGGTAATCGTTAAGAAACGGTAAATCGTCAAAGTGGACTTCGAATTTGCCCCTGGCCAATAAAATATCGCACCTTCGTTAGTTTTTGCATTTTATCGCATGAAAACACAACTGAAAGATTAACAATTCAAAATATCGGAATTAAATTTGAAGGAGCTAAAGCAAGCCAAATGTGACGTCGGAGGCATGGATGTTTAATTATATGAGAAATGCTAAAAATCTTTGTTTAATGCAAATACAATATGGCTAAGTACAGTCAGTTTTAAGTTAAACAATTAGTCACGTATGTATGACAGTGACTCATACCATCGGTAGGGTGCTTAACTTGGGTGAAAGAGTATAGTAATGCACACATAGTCGTATTTACAAGGAGGTTAAAAACACATGAATCACTACAATGATACAGCTACAATGTGGAACCTGGGGAATGAGCGTTGCAGTTAATTGGAGGATAATTGCAGATCAAAGGCATTCAAATATGAAAACCTCTGTTTGATGAACCGGCAGTGCAGTGTGCGATAAAATTTCTTAAGGTACGAGTATTACGATTAGGTCTAAATGAGATCTTAATTTTAATCAAATTTGAAAGTTTGATGGTGGAGATTAGATGCGGTTAAGTTAGCCGTTATGGTAGCAGTATTCCAGAGTTAGAATATGCTTTTAGTGGCTTTAATGCTCATCTCTAGTATCAACCCGACTAGGTCCCACATCGATCATACGTTTTACAGATAATAAAATACTTCTCCAAAATAAAAGAATCATCATTTTAAATCTAAAGAAAATCGTCCAGCCGAGAAACTTCAGATTAAATTGTTAATGTTAAACTTAAGTCGGGAGCACAAGGACTAATTCATCTTTATATAACTTAACCCTTCATGAACTGCGATTAGTGATTTACTATAATTATAGCTCCGCTTTTAAATTACAAAATTAAACAGGGCACAACGCGTTTGGAGCTTATTTCCGCGACAACATATCGCAAAAACTCTTCCTAGTTGTTTGTAGGCGGTCCTTTGTATAAAACATAAACATATGTGAGGAGGCACGGAGTTCCTGTAATCATTAAACCCTAGTAAACAATAAGTATATATCAAGTGTTCAAAGTACCGTCGCAGATATATTTCGACACGATCACATCCGCAGATCTCAAATCTATTGGGGGATACAATTCAACCCTCTGGAAATTCCACATACAATGATGAGTGTCGAGAGCAGGCTCGAGACCTGCAGCGAGACCTGACAATTGACTGATACTTCAATGATAATATAACCGCCGGAGACCAGAGCAAACGCGAAACCTTGGACCTGATATATTTTCTCTAGAGTAGCAAAACACGGCCCCGCCTGAGCACGACATGGTCGCGCCGCGCCGTGCGGATTGCCCCCGCGCGAGCAGTATCGTGACCCGTTGTTATACCCGCTGAAGACGATTCGAGAAATCTGACAAGCATTGTCCGGAGCTGCGGACACACGGGGCTCAGGTGCCGGGCGAATGGGCCGATATTGGGCTCGGGTTGGAGGAGGTGCTGTGAGTACTGTTGGGCGGATTGTCAAATAAATTATGATTCCACTGGTTGTCGAGATTGAAATTGTCTATGTTCGTGTTGTTGAGAATCATGGATATGACCTCAGGATCGAAGTGATCCAACATGTTGTGATCCGAACCAGCAGAAGATAAAGTATAGTCATCACTTGGACTCCTGAACACTGTCTTATCGGCTCCACACTGGGTTACATTTAGAGGCGTGTTGGGGGACTTCATGCACCGCGTTTGTTCCCGTTTCACAGTCGGCACCGGCACGTTATAACACGTGGTGTTGGGTGTTTTCGTAAGATCGATGTGAGTTCCGTTACTCGGTTGAAGTTTTTGAGGGATCGCTGCGATAGTTCCGTTAGAGGGATTGACCGCGTGAATCAGAGGATATAGTTGCGCTAACTGGTACTGAGTACCACCTCCAGCAGCCTGCACAGGCTGGATCATGATAACGTTGCTGTTAGGGACCTGGATACCTCCTGAGGTGGGGATGATGCTGTACTGCTGGGGTGTCAGCTGGGAGGTGGTATACTGTGCTATGTTGCCGCCGCTCGGTTTGATGTTTGGTGATGTGAACTCTTGTTGGGTTGTGGGATGGGGAGTAGCAGGGGTTCCAGGTGACATGACTGCTTGAGGTGCAGCGTTGGACTCCACTGTTCCGCTGTTCACGTTGATATACTGCATACCCTGGAGATTAATGGTCGGACGAAGCTGAGTCTGGTTAGCCTGAATGTAGCCGTGTTGTCCAGAGGGCAGCAGGAGAACTTGAGGTGAGGCGTGTCTTGGTTGTTGTGGCTGTGGAGCAGGTTGTTGAGGGGGTAGCTGGTGAGGAGTTGAAGGATTAGAGTGGGGCGTCCCAACGTTAACATGATGATTAACGGGAGAGTTTACCAGCTTGTCAGGTGTTGGAGGTTGCGAGAAGTGCTGCTGAGTTGACGGTGATTCGTGCTGGATAGCTGCATTCTGCTGCTGGACCAAGTTCTGTTGTTGGCTTATATTTTGATGTTGTACCATAGAACTTGGGATGGGTTGTTGAGGATGCTGCTGTGCTTGCTGTTGGATGCCCTGTTGAATGATGTGGTTTGGTTGCCTGTGCTGCTGTTGTTGGGGAGGTGGATGCCTCTGTCCGTTACTCTGAACAGTGTGACACTGAGACCCATGTTGTCCTGCTAGCTGCTGGTGATGCAAATGTATCTGCTGAACTCCGTGACTTATCTGCCCGTTGGTGGTAGGATGGACATGATGATGGACTGTTTGGTGCTGTGGTCCGTTGGTGGTGACGGGCATCGAAACCACCTGGTTTGGCACAGAGTTGTTGGTGATATGTTGAGATACGGATGTCACCACCTGGTGATGGTCCTGGTGAGGTACCGTGTGCTGCTGGATCGTATTCAGGTGCCCAGAAGGTGAATGGTGCCGCACTTGTTGCTGTGGAGGTTGTGGCTGCTGCTGTGGCACCTGCTGCTGCTGAGCTTGCTGCTGCGCTTGCTGTTGAGCTTGCTGCTGTGCTTGAGCTTGCTGCGCTTGAGCCTGTTGAGCCTGCTGCGCTTGAGCCTGTTGCGCTTGAGCCTGCTGCGCTTGAGCCTGCTGCTGAGCTTGCTGCAGAACCTGCTGGTGGTGGTCTTGTGGGGACAACTGCTGAACAAGATGCTTGGGAGCCTGCTGAATCTGCTGTCCTGGAATTTGGTGCATCTGCGGAATGTGTTGCATTTGCTGCTGGGTCTGCTGTGGGATGTTGATGACCGGGCCCCGATGGACGGTCATGTGCTGCAGTTGTTGCTGATCAGAATGTTGCATGATAGTGTGGTCAGGATCCTGTACCGGACCAGGACTTATATCCATCTTACTGTAACCCACTGAGGAGGTCTGACTCGCATCGTCCGACACATTCTGAAAATGTCAGTTGTTATATTTTTTCGAGACAAGGTTTCTGAAAAGCAACCTTCTAATTTGAATTAGAAAGAAACAAATATAAGTCTCATGTACTGAAATATAAAATAACGTACCTCTACAATATGATAGACTGTAGGCGCAGCGTTAGCTGGTCTAGGGTACAGGTTATCAGGCATCGGAGGGAGAGTGGCAAAGTGTCCAATATTATTAGTACTCTGACCAGCTACAGCAACATCTGAAATTATTATCGAATTTAGTCAAAACAGTAAGTCACTAAGTAAAATTACTTAGTTACTTCCATACTTGGAAGTAGATTATCAAGAATACAAGCGCTCCAGAATGTTCCAGTTTGGAGCTAAAGTTTACTCACTTATATTAGGTGGGCTGGGAGGTTCCTCCTTCTGGATGCCTGGTGTCACATCAGATATCCTGTCTTCAGGTAACCTCTGGGCGGTATTGTTCCTCGTCCCAGTCAAAGAGTTTATGAGCATGGCGTGCGGGGAGCTACCACGTGACATTGGGGGCAGAGCAGGACCGTACTCCAGAGCTCGAGCGTGGAGATACTCCAACACTTTCGAGTAACTGAAATTAATCTGAGTTAGGATTTGAGTATGAAATTTTGAGCGATTACGAGACTCGGAAAAGCGAGTTATGCTCTGAACATGATGCATTATTGATCATGTTGCACTTTATTGTCCACCCGTTTCATTTTAAGACCACAAAATGTATGACGTAACAGTTGAATTTTACAAAGAAAGTTAAATTCCCTAAATTACCATTACCACCAGTTTCTTTTTTGTGGTCAAATTATAATCTAATTCCGACGTTCTTTAACCGTTAAATTACTGATAACCAAATTATACCCGTTCTTAAAACAACATATTGTGACAAACAGTCAGGCACATGACCTCCACCGTCCAAATTCTTGCCAATAATCGAATTAATGACGACAATTAAAATGATAAGCGTTGACGTTGTAACCACTGTGGTAACGTAATGTTTTAAAATGGATCTTAAGTTTGAGATATTGAACATTTTGGACACTTGAAAGCTACAAGATAACGTTAAATGGAAAAAAAAAGTTTCAAAGTATCGATTAAAACAAGTCGTAAGATTGACTGTACCTAACAACGACGTTGTGGCAGATAATCGTCTCGGGTTTGTTTGTCCACTTGTTAGTTTGTACGTAGCCGTGGGTCTGCATCCAGATCCATTGTTGACCCTTCGTCAGGAAACGGTAAAACATTGTGGCGCTGTTCCCGTGGTTCATCACTGTAATTTTTATAATATTATTTTTATAATACTATATATTATATCGGTTATAATTCGCACTGACTTGTACTTGTTCATTGTCCAATTAAAAAGGACTAATTCACGTTCATAAAGTCTATGATGAGCTGACTAAAACAATTAAAGTGTTCGCTTCGGAATAATTGGAGGTCTTCTTTTTAATAATTCTAGCGATTTTTATTAATTTCCAACTCACGATTCTTGTGATTCACAGAAAGAATGGACAGGTCATCTAAATGGTAAAAATCGTAAGCGGAGCAGCCGATGACCTCAGAGGGTAGGTAACCGATGATAGAAGGAGCCCTGAAAAGAGGAAAACGTTAAACTAGGGCTAGATTCGAAAGTCGGGTCGCTGTTATCAATCCCTTCATACGTACTTTAGGGTAGGATCGGACCCTGTTTTCGGGCTAACGACACTGATATGTGACAAGGAAAAACTCTTTGAGTGATCACCGACACGCATTAACAATTATAACAAGGCACTAATGTTCCTTTTCCGATGTATGATCTAGAACTTTCTTAAATTACTTGGACACTGGACAGTCCGAAAAAATAGACTAACTTGTTATCAACGTAGAGATATTTTGCCTCCAGACTGTGCCTGGAAAGGTATTCATTCTTCCCCAGATCTAAAGAGCTTATGTCCCGTATGATTTTAGGAGCTTCCATTTTACCAACTGCTACGAGACAGTGAGTAGGGTTATCTTCAGTCTCCAGGAGACCCTGACTGAGACTAGCGATCTCCGACATTCCGTCCTGACAAGAGAAATTGAGTGAGGTGATGGAGTGAGCTGAAGTAGCTTCATAAAAGCAACGTAGTTAGCATTCATTCCATCTCACGCCAACACATTCCTTTGGCATCTGAAACCTTATAAACACCCGAATATAAACCTTATAAACACGGATAGCCGTGACTGCAATGCAATACCTGGTTGGGATTCTTGATGGCGTCCTCCCATCTCCTGACATTTCCCGAACAGTGAACTAATTCATATGAGTTCATCCCACCGCGCAACATCCTGATGCTGAATGAAACCTTGGCTTTGCTGCCCGAGCTGGAGCTACTCTCCGCCATCTGAAATAGAACGGTAGTCAGGTTTTTGTGGGAAGGGAGTCACAACATTGTCATTAGTACGTGATAGGAGAACCGAGGTGTGCTGGGAGGCCTCCCAGTGTACTCACGTGCTTTCTCGCACTAGCTCCATATACCGCCTTCTTGTTAACGGGAACGTTAAATTTACGTGCGATAAAATGTATTGACTTTACGTCCTATTGCAGACTTTTTAAACTTCCATTGTCTGTCGGCCAGACTGTAGTATATTAAATCTAACTATGTTTGCTGAGAGATTTAGTGATCTAATTGCAAGTCCCATGGTGACAGTACAACTGTACACACTGCATCGTCTAGACTGCCCTGTACACCAATACAGATAATAAAATCGGTAGCCGATGATGACCGTACCCGAGTACATGATAAAGAAATCCTGGATAAGAGCGCACTTTGACGGAACGTCGAGCGATCCATATTAACATACCTGGGAGGAATCGAGACAGACTGCTGACTGATCACTGGTTGGGCCCGATCACTGGTTCTAGTGTGGGTTGGAGAGATAAGAATAATGACGAACCCTGCACCACTCCATCTCATCCTAATCTAATTATTATTTATTGTTGAGCTGTCACGGTGATGGTGCGTGTTACAGTGCCCCTTATCGAGTAAAGAGGAATCAGGGCCGAGTCACAGTACAGTTTGGCGCACCGCAGCCCCCCGGTCCCCTCCCGCAGTAACAGGTGTGCTGAATATTATACATCAGGAGAAGTTCCCCACACTCAGGCTGGGTCACGTTTACAGAGGGGGAATGTTTCGAGTTGTTTTGTGCGGGAGGGCGGCAAGGTGCCAGGCAGCCGTGAGGGGGCCCCGGACATTAGGACACGTATTAACCCACCTGGTGTCCTCTCTACTATCCCCACGCCTCACTGATTCCCCCTCTCTATCTCTCTCTCTCTCTCTCTCTGTCGTATATACCCTTCCATTACAGCGATATTATTTTACAGGCCGCTATCAGTGACAATTCCGGAGGTGACCAGGTGATTCTTGCATTAAATCATCCTGGTACTCCTGGCTCTGTGCGGAAGAGAGGCTATCCGAGTATCCGTGTGTAACGAGCAACACTCTGAAACGCAGAATCACAAGTTCTGTGAGCAGTACACGAGAGGGCAAGTCCACTTAAGTTACAGATAATTCTCATTTACGGACTGGTGATTCATAATGAGGTTGTTAGTTTACGAGGCATAAATATGTGCAGGTCCCCAGGCATGTAATTAAGCATAAATTGTAACATTTCGCCTAAGGACGTACGGGGGGAGGCAAGTTGCGTAATAGGCTATTTCAATTTACGTAGCTAAGGAACGACGAGCAGGGAGGGTGACTCGGTCAGCTAACCGTGGCAATGTACGGCCGGAATATCAAGTCAACAGTAATCACTTTAACACGTGCTTTAAGGAAACTCTGCATCACTGAATGATCTGATATTTTTATTGGCGCAGAGAGCGGATTGGAAATAGTATGACGGAAAAATGTAAGCAGGAGGAAAAGGAGCAGAAAAAAGGACAGTTAGGCACAAGTCATAGGAATGATGTGACAATGATCTGTCAATTCTGTAGAGTCTTGTTGGCACGGTGCAGACTTGCAGAGACGCAAGACTTTCGAGAAATCAAAACAAAAGGAAGGAAAAATATCGAGGTTAAAGCTTTATGCAAAGTACAGCGTGTTCACGAAACATTGGTACGGTTTTAAACATCTGTAGATTAATTTATGAAAGAGCGAGCAGCTTTATTTGATATCTGGATTGGTTGTAACATAATTTTAATCGATTTACAAAGAAAATGAGCTCAAATATAGCTGATTGCTCCCTCATGAATTGATCTACAGATGTCTGAAACCGTACTATTGTATCGTGAACACCCTGTTCATCCGAAATAAGAATAAAAAGTATTTAAAAGAATATTAAAAACAGACATTCGATGTACATATATTTTAAAAACTCTTTTGAACCGGTACGGGGATCGAAGAAGGAATTCCAAATTCCAGAGGGAGCTAATAATTGGTAAGTGACAAAAGTTGGCAGAGTTATATCATGTAGCCTAAAATAGACGGTGGTAATAGGTAAATAGTTGTGACATCACGACATGGTGTGGAAAGAGGGAACTGTAGCTATTACTGAGTAATGTTTCGGCGAAAGAACTGAGCTGCAGATGTAGCTTCCAGGAAAAGGGATGATTTAAGAGGTTTTGACTGTTGTGATACAAATCTTATTTCTTCGAAATTATAACAATTATGTTAAATCTAGATCACATTTAACAGTTTAATATGGCAATGTTAGTAGTCAAATCGACTATATCACAGATCCTTTATTATGTGGATGTACCGGTCCAAAACAATTAAGTTTTAATCCGGTTTCTTTCTTTCAATATTTCAGAGTTTGCTCTGGCATTATTTACTTCGATTTGATGTGGCATGGTTCATTTGATTCGTTTAAGTCGTTTTGGAAGGAAATAACCGCTAACAATCACTTTTATATTAAATGAACGTGCTAGGTATAACTAAGGTTGGAGAGAGTACAAAAGATTATTCTATAAAACGTAACGTTAAACGTCATTACATCAAGAAATTGAAGATCTCGTCAGTCATTATCTCTTAACATTACTCATGTTTGAATGGGTTCTTCTATAGCAAAGTTTCAATAGCTATAGTCCTGTTGGCGCTGTTTTGAAATATTGAGCGAGATGTGGCCATTCAATACATTTCAACGGATTAAAATGTACCTCATGAAGAATCTCGCGACTCAGTAGGCGGCTTCGTTATTACTCGAACCGTTTATAACAAGTAGTACAAGTAGTACTACCGGGAGCAACGCTCCTGGAGCAAAGGTTGAGAATATAAAGTTAGCGCCGACCCCGTGATAACATTCCTGCTTAGTGACCAGGCAGCCGAAGGTATGATGAATCAGCTCATTTTCTAGAGCTTCAGTGCCGAATTGCAAACAAATTAAATTGTCTCAGATCAATCAATCAGTTTCACTTATTTTGGTGACCTATGAGAAAAAAATTATGTCCAACAATTGATTTCTAATTTGTTTGGGAAATCTCATATAATATTCCACCTTCAGCAAACTGGATTGCACTTAAGAACAGAATTGAGACAATTGATTTCCCTGGGGAATGATGTATTCCAGATCAAAGCTATAGCGGCTTTAGATTAGGGAAAACAAATCTTGAGAGACACGGATATCGATCGAAGCACACCGATAGTTGTTTTCAAGAAGAAATGGAACATTACAAAGTATGGTTTCTTCAAAGTTAAATTCAGTTTTGAATTAATTATAGATCTAAAGCCTTCATTGCTTGGAATCGTCTATGTACAGTCGAAACGTGGGCAAAAGGAATGCCTTTCCAGTTTCCTTATAGTAGAACTAAAATTCACTTTTTCCAAATAAAACAAACCTCAGAGTTAAAGTGAGTTTTCAGGGTGTTTTCCAGAACTGCCCGGTCATTCTCGTGAACAAGATCGAAGAGAGAGCGGCCAATCAGATTGTTCTGAAGATGTCCGAGAAGTGGCGCTACCGTATGAGAAACGTACAATACCCTTCCGGTTACCGACAGCACAAACAGGAACCCGTCCAATGCCTGAGGATTATTTAAATGTTACTTTGAAAATCAGGATCCTGCAGATGAAGGTTGAAACCGGTTAAAGTTGAATGATGAGAGTTATGTATAATTTTTTCATCAAAAGGCTCACAATAGTTATTAATAACAGTGACCCTGTTTGAGTTATGACATTCGTCCCAAATTTGTCTTTCTACTGCTTCAACAAGTGATAATTTTCTTGATCTGGTTCTCAGTACTTGGAATATTCTAGACAATCTAAATCGTGACCAAAAGAAGTATGCCCGCAACTGTAGTGCACGCATTGAATGTCCCCTCATTAAACAATGCCCCGACATAAATATGCCGACCATGCTAGTAAATTGAATATGCTAATTGCATATCTACTAGACAATTTGTCTGCTTGGTATGATTATCATTGAAATGAACTCTGTTCATGAATGGGGAGTGGTACAATGGGCAGCCGTCACGTCACCCCTCAAGGGTACTCTCCGAAGTTTTGCAACAAAACTAATTGCATTACCTAATAAAATCCGCTTCCGTTCGTACTTAAATTCTTTTGTTCTATTTCAAATGAGGTTCTTTTGATTCAAAACCAATTCAGTGTGTCTATGACTGAAATGTGCTGATAGACATAGATCCTTCCGGGCAGACGGTATAAATTTAAAAACCTTGATCCGGAACTAACCTCCAACATCAACGTTGCCAACTCCTCATTGGACAAAAATGCGGGCTTCCAGCTAACAGTAGATTCGTTGGGTGACGGTGACAACAAATCTGAAAAACAACGTGATTAGCTTGAAATAAAGTAGTTTGGAAACCAAATGCGGAATACCGCTAACTGGTTACATTAACATGAAGTAGATTTCGCGCGCACTAAACCTCTTAACCGGGCGTTAAGTTTACGGAGAACTGAGGTCTGTTGCGTGATGTGTTGCTATTTTGGGTGCCTTTTATCACATTATCCAAGTTCCAGGAAGTCGAAGGTTGGCTAAACCATGTGAGTACAACGTGTAATGTAAACATACTGTTTCCCGCCTCAACACACTGCTGTCAACCAAAGCTTGAAATTGAGCGAAGCCGGATGTACTGTGGGACATAAGGTAGACAATTTCGCACTGGATCACTCCACATGAATCCAATTAAATACCAATTACCTTATTGGGTAAACCCGATTTTTTCGAACGCGAAATTGCACAGATGGATAACAATGCGGTGCTTTGCCCGGAAAATGACTACATTTTTATAATGCTAACAATGTAAGTAGACTCAATTGAGCCGCGCGGCAGGAGCATTTAGCGCGGAACGTCAGGTGTCCGCGAATGTTAGCGTGTATCCCTCGACATGCGAAATAGCTCAGAACAAACGGGCATTTTGCTTGCATATCACTCGAAAAAGTTACGCCAGGAATTAGATTGTAGAGGCGTAGAGGTGGGTTGTAGGCAGTTCAGACGGCGTGGTAACAGGCGTTCTGTACACGTGCGTGTGGTGTTACGCTGCCGCACGTGACTCTACACGTGCTTACATTCATGCTGCATGAGATGTGTTGTTTCTTATTCCTCCTGACGGAGAAGCACGTAAAGTCCAGTTGAGATGCCCCAGAAAATTTATTCATTACACACTCGAGAAGTTTTTGTCATTAAAACCAGGTCGGATCGAGTTGTAGATGATTAAATTAACTGGTAAGTTAATCTCCTGAAAAAGTATTCGCTGGTCCATGTAAGCGCCCTTTTATTCCCATTACTGACTCTAAGCATTAGGATTATCATTTTATGCGGGGATGTCTGCATTCTTCAGCATTTTATTCAATGGAAAGCTGCTTGTTTGGCATGGTAGTTGAAGTTCCATCTGTCACTGTACAAACATTTCCAGTAACTAAGGAAGTGATAATATGGCTGGAAACGATCTAAATTCTTTGTACCACGAAACTCAGGCATGATACCTATAAATAATCTTTCATTTACCCCCATCCAAACAAATATGCTAGATCCATCAGGTCCCGATATATATAATATACTCAAATGTGGACAAGCAGTTCCAGATATATATATGTATACAATAAGATGTCATGAAGATGTGTGCCATATAAAGTAAAGAGGTAAATACATAATCACTGCGAACATACAAAGAGCTTTAGATCTTAGGATTTCTCCGTGTAATAATCACTCATGAATTACATGTTTCTACGGCCCAATTATGAGGACCTGAGAATGCCTTTACTAATTAATGGCCCACGCTGTGCAGGTCGTTGTGTGGACTAATAGAGCAACAGACAGTGTCTCCTTATTCTATGCCAGCTGTATCCAACTTCCAATAACACCCCTCCAATTTACTGTGCAGGATTTCAAATCGATTTGGCGGTCTGTGCACAATTTCCATTCGATTTGGCACCGATTCAGACAAAACGCAGAGTTAACACTCGGTCACCTCGAGATAACTGTGTTGTATTTCTTGCTCTATAATAAGAGAGTATAATGTGTGAGGAATGGACACGCTTGCGAGCCATATATTCGCACATACAGAGATCTATTGTGTGACATGTAATATATGTGATCAGCTATATAATGTACCCCCCCCCCCCCCACAATCCCCCATACAGCTACTCTACACGGCCCACTGCGCCTCTCAGAAACATGTAACATATATTATATATATATGTATAAACAGTCGAGAGTAGCAGCAAATGCCATGCTGCGAGCTCTGCTACATGGCAGTTATATTATATCTTACAACATGTAGATTATAGGGCTGCAGTACAGTTCAATGGTTGGTAACATTGGGCTCAGCCCTGCCGGCACTCTGTGTGCTAATTGTAACAATAACTTTGCGACGAGATGACCGTTTAGCACGGGCAACCACCATGTTCCTATACATAAGTTATAGCTGGTATCGGATAATTAATAAGCTATATACATATTATTATGTATCCATTGTCATAGTGTTGAGCAAATGCGTCAAGAAGTCGCCTCCCCAACCCAGGGCTACCGTCGATTGCCTTTTATTCACTAAAGTGGAGTGTTGCGGCCTTTACAATAATGCTCTGTAACTGTGTTCCAGTTCAGCAATCTGTAAGCATCTCATGATAATTGGAATGTTATTAACTCTAGACCTACTCAACAAAGGGATGAAGTTAAAGTGCCTTAAAACGCTAAATTTCATGTTGAGAACATTGTTACGGACACGGTACGGTGTGCCGGTGCGGGCGTAAAACTATAATCTATTAAATATATCATAACTAGAGTGTGAGTAGAGAATAATATGTAGGTGGAATGTGAGAAGGATTGAGCAGGTGAAGATGAGATAAATGTTGCGTATGGTTGTGAAGAGATTTATCTCAACACGTGACTAGGCTCAACTAATCAGATCACCGGATTAATCCTCGTGACTGCGTATCGAAATATACGTGAAATTTCGCTGAATATTGTTTCTGGCGAGCCATCCATACCAGGGAAATTTTTGTTTCGTGTGAATGAATGGCGATGTTAATACGTGACGTCCAGATCATTTCCAATAACAATAGTTAAGTGGCCGGTCTTCACCGGTACTTCCACCCCATCACGTCTATTATATTCTATCTTTTCAGTTTTCCAGGACTGGACTTGCCAATGACCAGTTCCCACACACTCACCGTATCGTCCCTAATTTCCGCCGTTTCGTCGTGTGTGGCTAGCTAAATTAGGGCCGGTGAAATTTTGTATTTCAGAAAATTGGAAATTTAGGCTCTAAAGAGTAAGGTACGGTCGAGGCGGGACTAAAATCTTGTGAAATGAAATCCTTGTGAATCAGTAGTTAATGACTAGGCAGAATGTATTCCAAAGAATTAAATTAGTTAAGACTGAAGCTTTAGTCATCGTGACAAACGAACTTGAAATATAAGAGATTTGGGCAATCGGAGACAAACTTACAGATATATTCAATCTGCATGCCGTCCAAAAAACAAATGGAATTTTTGGCGGTAAATTTTTATCTTTTATTTCTTTATTCAATTCTTATAGGGCTTCTTACCGGCGTGAAGTTTCATGTAAGAAACAGTAAGTTTGAGGATGGTCGACTTATCAAGCTTGCGACTGGAGTGGGGAGATGAACAGCTCGGGACCATGGCACTCAGCTCGTTAATATACGTGTTCAACTTGTCCCTCCTTCGCTTCTCACTCGCGTTCCGACTCGACCTGAAATTATGGCTCCGTTAATGAGCGTCTCAAAGTAAAAATTCATATTAATATCATTATTATTATCATTCATAATAATATATTGGAGAAGAAATTAGACTAGATAAGCGGAGCGTTCAGTGATTAACTAATGCTGCGACTTATGGTGACTGGCGGTGGGGTTAATGCCATTAATAGTCAGTATGTCGATGAGGGAATATGCTTAATATTAAATTCGTTAAATAGTAAATTCGTTTAGTAAATACTCGACATAAAAAGTTAAGGGTTAAACTGGTGATAGTCACCAGAGCTTGGGACTCGTGACAGACACGATACCGGTGATCATAAAACTTAGACGAGAACATCGCAACTCCGCGAGCCAGGGACCAACTGTAAATATTATCCATCACAAAATTACGCCACGTTATTCCAATTATATAAGAGAGTATTTTTATTGTTACAGAGAGGGTTACAATGATTTAAGTTTCTGGTTTTTCAGATACACACTAGACCCGGGCGTCCCCAATAATTTCTTAATTCATTCGATTATCAGACGTTCAATCGAAGAAGAATGATTCATTACCCGCAAAATACCATTGTTAAAAACACGCATGATAATATGTAAGAAATGAGGTCGGTAGAAGAGCAGGTATGTTGAGCTGAACAGTTTGAGATTACTCCCGACATAACACAACACACACCCTCACGTTTAGCTATGATGTCAGAGCACTCCAAGTGTGAACTAACTAGAATATGTGCTGTCTGGATAACACTAACAAAGAACACAGCAGCTATATGTCCGCTAGTTAGGTTGAACGGGGTAATTGGAGCGAGTTGGCTTTATTAATTAACCCTAATTGGATACTTAGAGGGCCCAGTTCCTCTTTTAACACGTTTCACTCATGTGAGGTGTTAATTTAGGGCTCGCAGGGTTGTCTAGTGCTACTTTATTGAATTAAGGTACCGGATAAAGTATTTACACGGCTTGAGCCCTCTCCCTCTCCCTCTCCCTCTCTCTCTCTCTCTCTCTCTCTCTCTCTCTCTCTCTCTCTCTCTCTCTCTCTCTCTCTCTCTCTCTCTCTCTCTCTCTCTCTCTCTCTCTCTCTCTCTCTCTCTCTCTCTCTCTCTCTCTCTCTCTCTCTCTCTCTCTCTCTCTCTCTCTCTCTCTCTCTCTCTCTCTCTCTCTCTCTCTCTCTCTCTCTCTCTCTCTCTCTCTCTCTCTCTCTCTCTCTCTCTCTCTCTCTCTCTCTCTCTCTCTTTCTCTCTCTCTTTCTCTCTCTTTTTCTCTCTCTCTTTTTCTCTTTCTCTCTCTTTCTCTCTCTCTCTCTCTCTGCTTCTCTAATTTATTTTTACCTAACCGCGGTGCTCTGAGACCGAGTCGCGTATTAGAGCAGTTAGATTTACTTTCATCAGTTCAGACTATCAATGTGGTTTACACTGCATTTTCAGGGTTTATTTCTATAGTAGTGACGTCACATACCCTCAACATGAACGAGACAACACGCCTTTAGGCCTCAACTTTAAAGTTATAACCACTACTTAAACTTAGTTTTGAAGTTGTATGACCAAAGGCCGCCCGCAGAAATTGGTTTAACATAGACAGATTTGTCAAATTAGAGGGCAAGATTTGGGGAATATAAAACTAGGTTGTATGTTTAATTCCGGGAGTGTAGAGAACAGTGAGCAGAACATACCAGTTCTGGACTCGGTATCTGGTGTAAAATCTTTAAGAAATCCTACGTAACCGGAAACATGAGTACTTACTACTTAGGTTATATAATATATATATAATGAAGGTAAATGTGTATCCAAAAGTAATATACACTGTACCCTAAATAATGCTGACTGAAGCCGCCCGATCTACAGAAAGCCATGTAGTAGTAGAAGGCTTGCACAGTATGATAGAGCCGCCACAAAAGATGCGGAATGGGGAGAATGCATCACGCACACACTCTAATGTACACAACAGCAACACTACTTAACTGGATCAAGTTTCAATATAATTACAAATCTGTGGAAGAGAGAGAGAGAGAGAGAGAGAGAGAGAGAGAGAGAGAGAGAGAAAAAGAGAGAGAGACCACCTCTACTTAAACCACATATTATTCTCTTCTTGTGTACAAACTTCACCTATTATTACAAAAGAGGAGTGAGTGTGTGTGCGCTTTATTTAATACCCGATAATGTATCGCACCTAACTTAAACCGAAATCGTGTGCAGTATATCCCTGCTCTAGGCTACTGCCAGTCGGTCGTTGATAATCGAATACAAGCTTCTGGAATCTTGAAATACCGTACCAGTATTAATAGATATATCCCACATTGAGAGAACGTATATATAATAATATAATGCAGGAGAGAGAGAGAGAGAGGACTGGTATGAAAAATGCAGAAGCCGCGATAACCTCGGGCGGAGGTTTAAACAGGAGATATTGTGTAGATATATTACAAATGATGGCGGGGTGTTGCTTGAAGATATTATTGATTATATGAGAGACAGTATAACATAGAGAGAGAGAGAGAGAGAGAGAGAAAAAGAGAGAGAGAGAGAGAAAGAGAGAGAGAGAGAGAGAGAGAGAGAGAGAGATAGAGAGATAGAGAAAGAGGGGGAAAGAGAGAGAAAGAGAGACAGAGAGAGAAAGAGAGAGAGACAGAGACAGAGACAGAGACAGAGACAGAGAGAGAGAGAGAGAGAGACAGAGAGAGAGAGAGAGAGAGACAGAGAGAGACAGAGAGAGAGAGAGAGAGAGAGAGAGAGAGAGAGAGAGAGAGAGAGAGAGAGAGAGAGAGAGAGAGAGAGAGAGAGAGAGAGAGAGAGAGAGAGAGAGAGAGAGAGAGAGAGAGAGAGAGAGAGAGAGAGAGAGAGAGAGAGAGAATAGTGTACTGAGCTCTAGCTGGGCTATGTAGCCTAATAAGTGCCTCTTTTCTTTCCTCTCCTAGCTCTCACTTACACTCTGTTACTTTACACCCAGGCAGCTCCTTTAAATTGAATGTGTCCGGGGGGTTTAAAAAGAGTTGAATGAGAGGTGAGTTATAAGAGTTACAATATTATATACACTGAGCTGGCTGGTTTGTAAGAGTGTAACGTGCAACACGGACTCAGTTAGTACACTGTTAACACTTGACTATGTTCAGAAAGGATTAAGGTCGTTGCATTCTTACGCGCAATATATGTTGTACATTGTCGTTCGATAATTTTCTGAGTGGCACGTTGTTCTCCAGAAACAAACGCGTGTTTATAATAATATAATAAATTCGTTGTGATAATACGATATAGCTGAATACAAGCATGCGGGAGAGAATAGATTTTTATTATAGCGCTTTTAACTTTACTAATTAGGTGATCACATACCAAATAATGTATTTACTAAAGTCGAACTTACAGTCACATAATATATTCAAGACTTCTGTATGGCAACTAATCTACAGATCCTGATAACATAATAACAATCTTTAACTGTAAATCTACATAATAATCGTTATAAACCGTGACAGTGGCCATCAGATACATGGCTCAGAGGGGCTCTGGTAAGTCTACCAACTTGACTTCGTTAATAAAAAGTTACCGCACGTACACTGGTCTTTCATCGCTGATTTTATCACGACAATTACTCCCCTGCCCTTACCTAATCTGCCCAGAGAAGCGCAGTGGTATATCTGCAACTGTTATTGCGTCATTTATTATATATATATACTTCAGTTACCCGCAACTAATATAATACTACGCACCAATAAGGATACGCGTATCTTATACCGGCGAACTGTTACGTGTATTATCACAACTTCAACACAGGTTCCCAGCTTGGTACATGAGACCCTGCAGTGGTGGGTGACTTCTCCTGGTGTGTATTGCCTCGCTACTCTCAGCGGCCCAATATCTGGGGCCCAGCAGTCTGATGTCTGAATACTCTCTCAATTAGTCGCCATTATTCCCATTATTGTAACGGCCTGGTTCACGTTCATTTAAATGTATAGAATTAGGGCATCACCAATTGCTGCTGATAACAAGTGTGGGAGTTAGGGTGAGATAGGGTTTCTGCGATGAGGTTATGGGTGAACCTGTCTCAACTCAGACTCTTTGTCTCCATTTTGTTCACCTCAACATCCAGCCTCCTCTAGTTTCCCACAATAATGCTACACACACAAGCCATCCAATCTCCTCTTTACACATTTACATAGTTTACGTAAATTAATGAAACAGCTTCTTCTCAATGGATTAGTAATAAGAAAGCCTTATCTCAATAGATAAAGTAATGCGGAAGCTTCTGTAAGCAGCGGAGAAAAGAAAGCCCGATTTAATTCTCTGACGTTTGAAAAGCACCTTGTCATTGTTTCAGTACAAAAGCTGAATTATGCGTGGATAATGGCTTTAATTTGGTCACTAGGACACTACTCACTTAGTACAAGTCCGTGCAATAGCTCCATTCAACCTACCACAATCAGCGACTTTTCAGCTAACATCTCCACAACATCCTACTAAGCACAAAACAATGTAATCTTTCTGCTTGGGTCGAGAAAAAGGTAACTTTGTTTGGGGGCAGCTAACTGTGCGCTGCTAAAATATGCGGTCTACAGGAGTTGGCAGGGTAACATTGTCTGCAAGGTGATTCGTCTTATTCAGCATGACAATTGTGGGGACTGCTAAATGCTAAGTACTCGTCTACCCAGTCATAAAAGGTTTGTCTTTCTAAACCATGGACCACAACAACATGACTATGCTATGTGCACCCCCAGCACTCGATCATCACAGCAAGTCCTTTAGATTCTTGAGAAACTCCGTCAAATTCCTTATCTTCAGTCTGAATTCTGGCGATAAATTGAATTTGTTCTCAGCTCCTTACTACCACACAAAGGTGCCAATAGTCTCAATGTGATTAGAGGATTAGTAAGTACTTGCTATCTTATTAAGATGCTCCAGCTTCTGATTAAATTTCTTTCATTACTCAGATAAAATGTGATTAAAACCCATCCCCTTGAATTATAATGGCCAGATTAACGCAACATCTTACCGACGTACCACGAAGA